AAATTTCCAGGCCTTTTTCTGCTTCCTTTCTGATTAACACTTCTATCTTTAAGTAATTTCTCTCTTCTTACATTTAACTACAAGTAATCAGAAGAAATCAAATCTCTCTTTCAACATTTTACCTGGAAATTACTTCAGTTAAATATCTAATTTTATCATTCACAGGTTATACCTTCCATGGAACACTAGAACACAAACATGCGTCCATCGAGTTTTTCCTACTTGATGGTAAGAATCATGTTTGCTCCAGTTTCCAATAACATGTTCCTCATTTCCATCTGAGATCTCACCAAAATAGCCATCACCATCCACATCGCTACCGACATCTGTTCAGGATTATTTAGATAATCTCTTAAAAGATTGAGACTTTCTCTGATCTCCCTTTTTTCTTCCTGAACTCTCACAAAAATTGCCCGTTGTAGTCCATTCATAACAATGTAAGCTTTTTCTACTATGCACCTCAAAATTATTCTGGCCCCTACCCAATTCCAAAGTTTCTTCCATATTTTTCGGTGTTAGAGCAGTGCCCCTAGTTCTCAGTACCAATTTCTGTCTTAGTCTGTTTGGGCTTCTATATGAAATTGCCATAAATTGGCTGTCTTGTGAACAACAGAAATTTATTTCTCGCAGTTTTGGAGGCTGGGAAGTCCAAGATCAAGGTGTCAGCAGATCCCGGGGAGCACCCAGTCCTGGTTCATAGATAGCTATCTTTTTGTTGTGCACTCACCCCTGCAGAAGAGTTAGACTCTGGTCTCTTCAGTTCCTTATGCGGGTACTAATACCATTCATAAGTTCTCTGTCTGGATGACCTAATCACCTCCCAAAGGCTATACCTCCAAATACCATTTGGGAATTAGGTTTCAACATATGAATTTCAGAGGGACACAGATATTCAGTCTATGGCAGAAACATATTTGATATAAAAATGAAGTACAGATAGAAGGACCAAGTAAGTGTCCAACATTTACAAGGTATCAAATATTCCTCCCTTAAATTGGTCACCCAGTTATTTTACCCATTTTGGCCCCCTGGGTTCTCTGCCTGAGATATTACTATGCAGATAAAACTCACAGCTATACAGTAGTATCATAAAATTACAATTATACTCATGCCTATTTGTCCCTGATGACAGAGCAGACTACATTAGTTCCAAATTATTGCATCTGCTGTGCCCCTTATTCATACTCAATACTGGGTCCTCAAAAATACACCATAATCAGGGAAGGCTGAAGTAGCAGAGAAGGGGAGAAGGCCAGAACATAAAAACATTAAGTAACACAGAATTCGGGAAGTGTGGTGGTTTCCTCCCATTTCCCTGTGAAGTAGGTGAACTTACCCCATCCTTCTCCTCTTGCTTCTTGTATGTTAAGTTGATTCCATAAATTCTGTGACTGGAATATTTTAATTTGGTACATGACCTTTCTGTAACATGACCATACGTTCCTGCTTGTACTCTAGGATATGTGGAAATGTGGGAGGTCGTTGATAGGACCAGGTGGTAAGGAACAGAACTAGAGGCCTCCAGCTTAAACAGAATGGCCTAGAATGCCCTTGAAATTGACAGCACAATAAGAACTACAGCTAAATCAGGAGGGGTAGAATATTAAGACCTGTTAAGATCAAGGGAACTGATCCACAAATTCACTAGTCACAGATTTGATACCTGAACTCACCCACAAATCACAACACCCAGAGTATAAAAATCTACACACATGCTTTCTTCCTGAGGTGCATGTACACATTTTTCCTTATCCACTAGTCATGCAAACTACCACTGTAGCTCAACTCTTTAATATGCCCAGATGCCATCCTGGATAGAAGAGGTACATGTACACATCTTTCCTTATCCACGAGGTTGTGCAAACTACCATTTGTAGCTCAACTCCTTAACACGCCCAGATGCCATCCTGGATAGAACAGGAGGGGCAGAAAGTCTCAGGACTCAGAAAGACTCAGGATTCACCTGAGAGGACCAGAGTCCTCCATTTGTGACAATTAAAACTAGAAGAGAGTAAGATCATGTCATCTCTAAGTGGCAAGTATAACTTCCCACTCTGCCTGGGGATAGGTAGTTTAGTGAAGAAAAACAAGTTTGTTATAGGACAACAGCTACATTTTCTCTGTATATACAAATGGTAATGTAGGCAAATTGTGAGCCCATTACAGTAGTTCTAGCAACAAAATTCCAAACATTATCAACACAGGAAAGAGTTAAATAAAAGGAACGAGGAAGAGAAAGTGGGTTAGACCATGGACACAGAACCAATCTGTGTCCCATACCAACAGTGCATAAACACACACAGACATGTGCACAGGTACACACATGCTATGCTACAACTCTTGAAACACATACAGATATCTAGTACTCATTATTTTGTGTGATGAGTGACTATTTCAGTAGCAGGATTCTTGACCAGCTGCTACACATAAGATGAGTTTAAGTTGAGAAGTCTGAATTGTTGGAGATCAGAAAATGATATCCTCAAATATGGCACTTTGGCATCCTGGGTGCTTTGAATTAAAAAGCTTTTAGAAATAAGCCTCAGAATTGAGGTCTCGGACACTTCCCTATGCTTCCTCCCCCTTCTGATTTTCCTTCTCTCCTGAACACTAGGAAGGACTCTCCCTTGTAATTTTCTTACCTGACTAAGGAAATGTCTTTCCAGAGGAAATGTGATAGTCTTAAGACCTCCTCACTAGGAATCTCATCAAACAACAGGAGAGGATTAACCATCAGAGAAGAGATTAAAAATTGTCCTTGCAGACAGACAGACAGACTTTCATCTATTCTTCTGAGGGCAGGTAGCTCTAAGAGATTACCTGGGAGACTTTATCTGCATTCTTTTGTTTACAGTGAAATATTATCCCTCACCTTCCCCAGAGCTCAGAGGAACTTTGTCCCAGGCCATCCCTCTTTGGGCCCATTTATTCTCCTTCAAAATTATTTACTACTTCTTTAAAATTATCTACAGTCCTCAACTTCCCTCTCAGCTGTGAAGAGGGTATTTAAGCCTCAATCATCTGGCCCTTCTTTGAGTCTATGTGGGATTCACGTGTCCACGTGAATATTAAAACATTTGTAAGCCTTTTTTTCCTATTAATCTATTGGCAGTCAATTTCAGGGAACTTTCAGAAAGAGTAGAAAAGAAGTTTTTCCTTTGCCCTGACATGATCCAAAAAGTATGTATGAATGTGTGGCTTAATTCTCAATTTTCGGCCAGAATATTAAAAATTCTCTAAAAGCTACCTTTTCCCAGACATGCTACGCTGCAACCCTTGAAACCTTAAGCATTTCCTCCTGCAGTAAAACTGGGACAAAGCACAGTAAAAACCACCCTTAAGCTGAAGGGTAGAGATGACTAAGAATTATTCAACCACCAGAGTGAGTAATTTCTTAAACTGTGATTTTTATGTCAACCTTAAATAAAGTCGTGCTCGTGTTTTGGATATAAATTAAGGAAAATTATGAAGCTTCATACATGAGTCAGCATGCCTTTCAATCAAGATGGAGATCAATGTATTGTAGGCCCAGGGCAAGCCATAAGGCTCTAATCAGATAGTTAGAGATGACTACAGCCCTGCCAGACAAATAGATTATGTTGCTGCCTCCTTCTCCACATTTTCAGTTCTTTTTTATAAAGCTACAAAAGCAGAAGACTTGTCTTTGTAATAAAATACAAAAAAAAAAAAATCAGTATTTTACACATAAATAAGTCAGATTTTGAAGGAAACTCTTTGAAGTGATAAAAAGATAACCATCTGAAACCCTGGATGCGACCAGCCTCAGGGGTAAGAGGCAGACACAGATTGGCACACAGGATGCTGAAAAGTTCTGAGCCTGGGAGTGAGGAAGTCATCCTCCAGTTTTATTGAGAACATTTAATCTGTGGGGATGGCCCTCCATCTGGTGACCATTCAGTGTCTCTGTGTCAAAAATTGCCCAGATACATCTAGATATTTCAGGATGCCACCATGTATCACAACTATACCAAACTACACCTCTTTCTAAAACTCAAAACAAGCAAAAAACAAGTGAACACTGAATGAGTCATTAAGGTAAAAATAAAGAAGGTATTTCTCATTTAGTACATCGAGGGACAAATAAAATGGCCCCATGGAACACAATATCAACTTGAAATATACATATACATATATATATATAAATGTATGTATTTCCTATGTAGTGAAATAAACTTTTAAATTACAGCATTCTGTAAATTACATAATTTACAGTTATCATGAAAGTTTTTTCTTTTTTTTGCAGTTTTTGGTAGGGCTGTGTTTGAACCCACCACCTCTAGAATATGGGGCTGGTGGCCTACTCCTTTGAGCCACAAGCACTGCCCTCATAAAAGGTTTTATAAAAGCATCAGAATTATTTGGAAATTCATGAATTTCCTTCCTAGAAATATGCACATTTTCCGATAGATCTCATATCAGTGTTGTTTCTTGATGTCACTGTATTATAACAACCAGAAATTTCCACATTTGATTGAGGATTCCCAAATAGATAAACCAAGCTTTTCCACCATTAGTTTCAGTAACTATGCGAAAAGAGAAATTCTAGAATTACTAAAAATAAGAATAGGAAATAGAAAAATGTCATACATATATTCAATGGTTATTTCAATTCTTTCTCAAGCTAGTCACAAGATTTTTCCAGTAACTACAATTAAGCATTCATATTTAACTCTTTAGGAACAAATAATGAAGCCGGCACCATCAGTGTGCTCTACTTTAAATCAAGTTGACTTAACCAAATGCGGGGGGCATGCCACCTTCCTGCACCTTTTTGGGAAACTGAAGAGCACAAAAACACTGAATGTTATCCCAAATCATGTTTAATACTCATTTGAATAGTTAGGGATTTGAGTAACAGATCTTAGCCCACCTTCCTAGGAAGGAAAAAAAAAGTTACCCAAACATCTCATGAAATCAAGGAGGGCAAAGGCCTGTCCTAAAAACTGACAGTCTCAAGACAGGAGAAGGGCTGTACTTACACAGATGGTCAGAGCTCCTGCCCCCATTCTCTCAGGAAGTGTCTGGAAGAACTGATGAAGACAAGACGAAAACATTCAAAGGACAGCAAAACACTAAAATTCCATTCAGCCGATACGCTTTGATTTTAAAAACAGCCTCCAACCCACAGGCCCAGCCGTGAGCTCAGAGCAGCTCCTAACGTTTTAGGAAGTCTGATTTTGCTTCTTGTTCTGCTAAACCCACATGGCTGGGAGGACTGCCTGGAGTTGAAATTTGATCCGCTGCCTCGGCTTGGCAAGTAGTGGGAGTCATGTGACAACAGGTCTTAAGTCGCTGACATCTTTTTCTTAAACCTGACTTTCCAGATCCCACAGGTGGGCTGCTGCAGCTCAGGGGACCGCCAGCCACCTGGTGGTATTCATTAACACGACTAACAGTGCATAAAGGAAAGTATAAACTCACTTCCTGATCACTACGCGGCTCTAAGAAAAATTTCCAGGTTCAAGCTCAGATTTAAATCTGCAGGCACATTTCCTCATTTTTCTGAGGCCGTTTTCTCTTCTACTCACCCCTAGAAACCACCTAAATTCTACTAGAATTTTCTTCCTTCCATCCTTATTCTAGCAGAATTAAATGAAAATGCTGTGCTTGATGCAGCTGTTACTGCTTCTAAGTACTTTCAAGTTATCTCATGCACATATACGACGATACATATAAATGGCACACTAGCAATCTGCAAAATCAGCCTCTAACCCATCTTTCAATAACTTTCTACTCTATGTACTGTGTCATTAGCAAATGTGATAGATTTTACAATTTCCAAATAATTGAACTGATAGCTATAATCTCCATTTCGGAGGCAAGCCAGAAGGAAACTATCCTATTTTTATTTTTATAACCAATTTTTCTGCCAATTTTCAATATATTTGGCATGCTTAGAGTACGCTGATTAGATATGACACGTAAAGTGTCATTTGCCTCAACTTTAAAAAACATAATATACCAATACCAAAGTCATAAGTTATACCTGAAAGAGGAAAGCAAATTCAGCTCCCAATTCTTCCTTCACATCTAATATTCCATGTTCATCTATAGCCAAGCAGCAACACCTGCAGCAGAGCCAAGACACAATCATGTTAAGCAAACCGCAGGACCAAGTACATTTTATTTCTATTTATACCTGTAAAACATTGAATAACACAATCCAAATTATCATAGAAGGGAATGCAGTTGGGATAATGAATACGATCTCCATTCACAAAAAAAGTCTCTATCTTTACATAGATTTTTATACTTCCCATTCAATCATTAGAACCTGGGCTGATTACTAAAGAACAACATCAAAATAGGACCTTTCCTAGTACTTAAAAAATGTGTCCTCTTTTTCAGATAATACTGGTATTGCAGATCCATCACGAAAACCAAAGCCTACAGATTAGGTTACCTATGGGCCCATCACTCGACATCACTCAAGCAATGTTTTGCTGACATTGGGCCAAGCCCTGGGCTGTGTGTTGGACAGACACGGATATGTTTTCTCAACAGTAATCCAATGGGGAAAGACAGGAGTAAAAATAAACAACCCTTCATGACTAGTAAGCACAGATAACGAGGTTCAGGACACACCTCCCCAGAATATGACACCTTGGCATATTGAATAATTCAAGCTACAGGAATCTGAGAAAACTGTAGAGACAGGATGGCCACTCTCAGCGTCTACCTTTCTTCCCTGAAGCAGGTCACAGAACGTAGGATTTTCCCTCTGAAGCATGTCATAAGATTCTGAAGTGAGAGGTGCCCTCCCTCTATGAAAGGAACATCCTTATCTCTGAAGTTGGGGGTCACAGAGAAGCATCTGAACAAATAGGCCTTGCTAAATTTCCCCCAGTTTTACCTTCAGATTCTACTCCCTTTGTGCCTCTACCAAACTTCTACGTGACTGTCTACTCCTCGTTCAACTGAGCATGAAAATACACAGGTGACTCCATTCTTTGGATCTTCGTTTCCTTAAGAAGGCTCCCCTGACACAAAACATTTATTAAATAACTTTGTATGCTTTTCTCTTTTTAATCTGTCTTTTGTTCTAGGGGCCTCAGCCATGAACTTAGGATAGGTGAGGAAAAGATTCTTCCTCTCCTACGTAGACGTGTTAACAAAGAAGCAAAGACAGTGGAAGAACAGAGGACGTACAATTAACATACCTATTTCTAGTACGTTTTTATGATAGTTATAAAACATAATTTAGATCTAATTTATGATAATTTTATGTCCCAAATTTTTCACTTAACATTGTATCAGGTACTATACTATGTTGTTAATAACACTAAAAACTTATTATATTACGAGTAATAATTACATTTTGCACATATAGCAGTTTCCTTAGTCATTCTCCCATTTGTAGACATTTACATAGCTTCTGGTTTTTATAAACAGGTATATGTCATTGCAAGTAATGCTTTGTCCTCATTCTGATTTTTTTTTTTTTTTTTTTTTTGAGACAGAGTGCCTAAT